AGGAAGGTAGATAGATACAGGACACATACAGAGAGAGAGAGAGAGAGAGAGAGAGAGAGGTGACATTATCTATCTACTGTATATACGAATGTCCCAAGCACTTTTATTGGCAGACGGCTGTTTTCTCCTATTTGAATCAAGATGTTCTGCTACACAATGTTGCTGGTTTATTTTCTCTCCATCCTTAACGATTGATGTATGCCTTCAATTTTAAAAAAATAATTACTCACTTTATCGATAGACTGATATAGGTCTAAGGGGCTTTCTCTTTTGAGAAGTGTCCTTCGTTGTACTGGTTGATCCTGCACGGACAGTGGACACAGGACCACTGGATGTCACTGTATAGCCACTGGACACAGGAACACGGAAGTCAAGCTGTGCAGGTATCATCCATTTAAAAACCTAGGTGTAGGTTCACCCAATTATCAGTTTATGGGGCCACAAATATTAAAAAGGCGCACTCTTGGCAGTCAGGGCAGGCGGCTCCACCGACACACACGAACATGCAGGCAGTTAGGAGGGGGCAACTGTTTAAAAAAAAAAGTCTTCCTGCGCAGCCAGTCATGATGACCACCCTTGGCTTGAAGTATCGTTAATAAGGATTTAAAAAATAAAATAAAATAAAATCCTGGCTGTAATGCACTTTTAGCATCATTTTATCAATGTACCAGACAGGACAGGGGAAAAGTATATATGGGAGCAGCAGTAATGGAGGCAACCTGACAGCCTTCACTTCAGAAAAGAAGCTAAGTGGGATGTGCGCGCAGGCAAACTCAGTAAGGAACGTCCCAGTAAACAGAAGTACAAAATAACACAAGTCTCTCAGGGAGTGGAAAATAAACGGCAGTTAACACTGCTGGCAAGGGAAATGTTTCAATCTTGACTGTGCGTTATGTGACCAGGAAAATTAAAAAAAACTCAATAGAACTGGTGGATCACTAGAGAATATTTCCCTCTTGTGACCTGGGCCAAAGGCGGAGGGGAGTCATATTTCAAGAACTTTTGGAAGGAAATACCTTCTTCAGCCCTAGTCTAGAACATCAACAGACACTGCCAGCAGCAAACATTGCTATTATGATATAATAGATTGCCAGTTGATACCCTGTTTCCCCGAAAATAAGACCTAACCTGAAAATAAGCCCTAGTAGGATTTTTCAGGATGCTCGTAATATCAGCCCTACCCAAAAATAAGCCCTAGTTAAGTGAAACCCCGCCCTCCACTCTTGGGCAGCAACCAGAAGAAGATGACATGACTGCATCTGAATCAATGTAGATGGTTGTACATGAAAATAAAATAAAACACCCCCTGAAAATAAGCCCTACTGCGGTTTTTTGGAGCAGAAATTAATATAAGACCCTGTCTTATTTTCGGGGAAACACGTTACCCGTTCTCTTTTTTTAAAAAAAGAAATTTATTATGAAAGAAGCGTACTTGGATGCAACTCGGAAGTATTTCTGGATGAAATAAAAGGCTATGCCAAGAGGCGCGAGAGCAACTACGAACAGCGGAGTGGTGTACGAAATCATCCCGATGGCAGACAGGCAGAGCAACGTGGATCGGGAGAGGGACTCCAGAGTTGGTGGAATGTGCTGTGCCAAACAGAATTATCAAGCGTTACATCAGGCCAATGTTTGGGTCCTTACCAAATAGTGAAATAGTGATCTATTGACTGCATTTGTCATCTGATCTTTCCTCCATCATGGGACTCACAGGTGGTACACACCCGTTTATTTAGAACATGGCCATCTCTCTTTTAAAAATCTATGGGTGGGGACACAGGAGAGGGCCTTCTCTGTGGTTGCCCCAGATTTTGGAACTCCCTCCCACAGGAAGCCAGCCTGGCCCCATCTTTGCTGTCCTTCCACAAGCAGGCCAAGGCCTTTCTCTTCAGGCAAGCTTTCTCTCACTGACTGGCTGCCTGAATTGGGGTTCTTAAATGGACGGTTGTGCTTTATTGCCTTGAAAGTATTTTCGGTATTGCTTTGTTTACCATTTCTTCGGGTGGCATTTGTTTGATCCTTTTTAATATTTGTACACTTACTGTTTTTTAGTTTTAAATTTTGTCTTTTATCTATTTAAGCTGCCTTGGGTCCTTTTTAAGGACAAAGCAGGGTAAAATATTTTAAATAAATAAACAACTAATTCAAGAAACAAACATTTCTATTTTACTTTTTAAGGAAATTCTCTCAAGGTGTCAACAAAAACACTGCCACTATCTAAATTTCCTTGGGGGGGTAGTGGGCACCAATGTAGAGAGAGGTATTTAATTATTGAAAACTGCTGTTTCCAGATTGCGTAAACCTCATGTGACAGAGTGCTCCGTTGTCATAATGACCAGGCTCCACCAGGATGATGCCCATGCGTATATGTAAGGAGATTAAAACTATTCTAATGCAGATATGCTATTAGTTTTAATGATCATCATCATCGTATTGTTGTGACCAGCATTTCTTCCTTTGAAATCATTATGCAACCATCCCCATACAAACCCTCAGAAATCATTATAATTCCCATTTTATTATGGCGAGGCTTAGGGGGACATTGGAAACATGTTCCGAAAAGATACCCTTTACTGGGCCACTGTATTCTTTAAAACGCTGCGTCAAATCAATGATCTCACCTGATCAATAATATTTGTATCCGCGGAGAAGCGGTTGAGGATCAGCCCCAATGGTGTTGTGTCGAAGAATCTGACAGATGGGGAGAAAAGTTAAAATGTGAACAAGAATACTGCTGTGTTTCTAAGCGGTATGATTTATCACACCATGGGGTGGTATGGCAAGGAAGTTTCACGATGGGATCATAGCAGCCAGACCCAAACGCTTATGCCTTTGACATGCAAGGAGGTAGAGGCTCAAATAAGGGGGATGCTATACATTATGACTGGAAGGACAGATCCTGAAGCTGAGGCTCCAATACTTTGGCCATCTCATGAGAAGAGAAGACTCCCTGGAAAAGACCCTGATGTTGGGAAAGTGTGAAGGCAGGAGGAGAAGGGGACGACAGAGGATGAGATGGTTGGACAGTGTCATCGAAGCAACCAGCATGAATCTGACCCAACTCTGGGAGGCAGTGGAAGACAGGAGGGCCTGGCGTGCTCTGGTCCGTGGGGTCACAAAGAGTCGGACACGACTTAACAACTAAAAATACGTTATTATGAGAAGGCAGAATCAAGAAGATAGACTACTTTGTGCTTTGCTTAGCAATCCCTCTGCCTCTTTCCATCCACATCCAATGGCCACCGCTTAGCTTCTCCACAACCTTCCAAATGCACCCACTTGGCACTAGAAAGCTCCACCTATTCTCATAAGTCCTGCCCCATATAGGCCCCACCCTTTCGCTCCCCATTACCATTTCCTGCCTCCCATGTTTGGAATCTCAGTAGATCAGGCACAAAAGCAGCAAAACCAGGGAGCTGGACAGGGGACAGATTGGATTTATCTTCAGTGTGGAAGAGATTGTTACTCTCGAATTGGCCTTAGAAAGCTCCACCTATTCTCATAAGTCCTGCCCCATATAGCCCCCACCCTTTTGCTCACCATTACCATTTCCTGCCTGCCATGTTTGGAATCTCAGTCGATCAGGCAATTCTAGACCGGTTATAAACACTAAAGAGGCCGTGGTGCTGATGGCTTTTCTTTTTTTTAAGGAAAAGGCTAGAATAGGAATAAACATGCGCCATCAAGTCAATTCTGAGTGTGTTCCAAGTCCTCCATACAGAGCACGTTACCCTAGTCCCTCGAGACTGAAGGATGCCTAACCCTATAAACACTAAAGAGGCCGTGGTGCTGATGGTTTTCTTTCTTTCTTTCTTTTTAAGGAAAAGGCTAGAATAGGAATAAACATGTGCCATCAGGTCAATTCTGAGTGACGGGAACCCTTCTCAGGGTTTTCCAGGTAGATAATAATCAGGAGCGGTTTATCATTCTCTTTTTCTGGAAGTGCAGCTTGTCAAAGCCCACACAGGCTGGCTCTACTTGCAGGATGCACATTGCAGAACTGAACCTCCAGCCTCTGGCTCCATAGCCAGATACCTAAACCACTGAGCTATCCAGCCAGCTAAAAAGTGACAGGATTCCCATTTTATTGATTAGTCTTTGTCTTCGGTTAATGTTCTAACAACTGAAATCAAAGGCCAAACGTTCCTTTGGGGAGCAGAACTTGTCGTTGAGTGAGCATGTTGTCCTATCAAATCAAAAAGCACCTTAATGAAGTGATTTGCTCCATTTTGGGCTCTACCTGATTGGTCCAAGGATGATTTTGTTGAGAAGATCATGATGGAGGTTCTTAGCTGCAGTCAGGCCCATCCATTCCACTGTCAAAGACGTGACCAGGCAAAGCACGATCCCCGCACCACTTAAGATACTGAAGACAGCTACGTTGCAAGTCTGTGTGAAACATGGGGAAAAGGATGCATTTCTGATCCTGGGAAGGGATATCAAACACTCCCCATAGGCATATCCCTCTCTATAGGATAGACCAGCTGGTGGTCATAGTTCGGAAAAACTTCTGCTTTAGTACTTTGTGTGCCTCCTATTTAAATTATTTGAACATTTTTTATAGTGCTTTGGGGGAAAATCTGAAGCTTTGTGTGCGCCTGTGGGAGTACTGCTGAGACATAAATCTGAGTCATAATTTCAGTGTTGACATCTGTTTGGAAGAAATGTCACTGAATAGTGGAAAAGGGAACGACTAAAGGGTTAAACCAAAATAGGGCTAACGCACCAGTTTGGTAATGACCTCCCTCCCCACAAATCTCTTTATTGAATGCCTGCATAGCTTAGTGTAGGGGGAAAGTGCCGTGTGTAAATCTTATATGACCCCCGTGAGGTTTTCCTTAAGTTCCCAGGACCTGAGAATAAAACTGGCACCCAAACCACAAGAAATGCTGGGGGGTGATTTGGTATATAAATATAATTCCAATTCCCCAGCACCTCTTGTTCAGAAACCAGATGCGACCAGCCAGTCATTTCTTGTTTCTAAGAACAGCCTTCTGAGAGATGTAAAACAGGCATTGAACAGAGTCCACGCTTTGTTTACATGCACCCAAAGGCCTAGTTTACAACGAGGAGGGGGGCAAAATGTGATGTGGGTGTCAGGGGTGCTTGTCCAGGGCTCAGGATGAGAAAAATTAATTATTAGCAATTGCTCACTCTGATATAAAACCAGCCCATTCTGTTGCAATGACCATTTTTGCCTAATGAACTCAGCAACAGGCACTGCTTATAATGGCAGATGAGGAATATGGCACCTAGTCTTCCCAAAGGTATTAGAAAACATAGATTTTCATAGTCTCTTGAAAAAGGTACAAACTGCCCCCTCCCCATGGTCATTAGGAGAGACGTTGGTTTGGAGGTGTTATTTTGGAGGTTGATCCATTGCTAAAACATATTAAATTATGGCTATTGCATCTTTTCAGGTTTTTTTCGTGTTGTTCATTTATCTCCTGCTAATCGCTCCGAGCCTTTTCCATTTGGCTTACCTTTCTGGTCGGCTCTTCTGTGGAACACAAGGTCTGGTACTCGTCCATTGAGGTCCACTGGGCCAGCCAATAATCAATGGCAACGATGACCGAATGCTTCAGTAGTTTGGAGAAAATCATCAGAGAGAGCAGGAGGAAGCCTCCAGAAGTGAGGTAGAGCCAGCAGGTTTTCCACGGCATCTTCGTCCTGAGACGCATGACTGTTGACATGTTGTCATCCTCATCCTCATCCTCCTCTTCCTCTGACAGGTGAAAAAGGTAATATAGTTAGTTAACTGGTACTATCTATATTAGTTCCCAAGCAACTGTTATAAAGTGCAGAGGATTTACTCCAGCACCTGAACTATCTGAATTGCTTGATGGACTGATTGGTTTTGTATCCCATTCTTCACTCCAATTTTCAATCTCTTCCTCTAAGGATTTTGAATTATTCATATAAAAATTTTGACAGAGATGAGTGTGAAAGAGCTGAGCGAGGACTGTTGACGATCAGACATTTTGGAGATCGCTAGTTCATAGGCTTGCCACAGTTCAAAAGTGATTTGACAGTATGTAACAACAGCATGTACACATTTGACCTTTTTATTCATGATGGAAGTACCTTTTGTTGACAATTTTGACAATACAGGTAGGAGTGAGAAGCATCAATTGGATTCATATATCATCTGTTCCCATCCATCCATCCATCCATCCATCCATCCGTCCATCCATCCATCCATCGATCCATCCATCCATCCATCCATCCATCCATCCATCCCTCCACTTCTAGTAACTATTGTCAAAGCAAGGGGAAAATGAAATGGAGGCTTTATTGATCATTACCTTCATCTTCATCCTCTAGCTGTGCTTTAGATTCTCTTGGATACATAGCTCTTCGGAGTGTCTTCCTTTCCAGAGTGGTTTGGTCAGCTTCCATATCCTACCATGAAGTTTGAAATGTTTGTGGTGAGGACTACTTAGAACAAGAAACAATTTGGTGGATGATATTAGGGTGGTTGTGTCTGACAAGTCGTGTCTGACAAGACGCAGCTACAATTTTGCATAAAACATGGGGAACCAGTTGGATGATCTAATCCTGGATTGATTAAGACCTGTTAAGACCAGATATGAATGAACCTTGTTGTTTCCTTTTACAGGAGGAAAAAAAGAAACCCAAAAGCCTCAGCTTCCCATCATGTCATAACCAGGAAACTACAGTTAAAGGCTTCCTAAGAAGCCAGAGTAGGGGTGGTACAAATTAATGTTCACATCAATTTGAATGCCTGAAAGTCATTAGCCATAGTTCTTGACTGATCAGAAGTAACAGTAAGCTATGGCTGATTGTAAATTCCTGGCATGTGGGCTTACTGATATGAAGCAAAGCAGGAGCACAGGATTTTAAAAGCATGACCAGACAGAGCATTTATATCCCTTAACATTTCCCCTTAATCATTAATCTTAAAGGAAGTTCCCCCCAAATCCAGGTGATGTTCTTATCACACTTTATAATAGCTTCCCCATGAGTTACTGGACAGGTTTGATCTTCTCAACCCCTTGGTTTATTTTTTGTATCACTTTGTACAGGGGGCTGAGTTTGGTGCTATGACACTTCCTGTTTACAGCAGATGCCCATGGCAGAAGCCTCTTCACTGGAAGCTCTCCATAAGTGGGGTATAGCTCTGTAGTTTAGGTATCTGGCTGTGGAGCCAGAGATTGGGAGTTTGATTCCCCACTATGCCTCCTTGAAAGGGGTTGGACTTGGTGATCCATTGGGTCCCTTTCATCTCTGCTGTTCAGAGATGATGATGATGATGATTTTCAATTAGCATGGAAGCCCAGTTGTCTAGATAGAGAAGCAGCAGCAGACGGAAGAGAGATCAAAGAAACAAGTTTCCACTACACATAGAAGCCAAATCAAGGAAAAGGAAGCCCAACGTATAAGGAAATGTGATTGGTCTCAAATTGGAGGAGAGTAGGCAAAGCTCAAAAGAGGTGATGGGTGAGATGAAAGTAAATAGCCATAGCTGTTGGGATATGCGGAAAGGAGTGGAAATAGTAAATACAGCTGTAAAGAAAATGTCAGGACAGTGATTTAGAACCAGGTCAGTAGTCCAATTGAGAAAGACAACAATTTAAGGGCAACGTACGTGCTGCCTGGAGAAAAAAATTGCTCAGACGAAGCCATGTTAATTGATGTTTTAACAGGGTCATGAATAACCTTACATTTCCCCCTTCAAACATCTGTCCCTCAAGAAGATGTTCCCCTTCAACAGGAGCGGCTGATTTTGACAGGGCCAAAATTTTCCAGTTCAATGGCAGTCCAAGCCCTTAACTTCCTAACTTGCATATTTAATTACTTCTTTAAAAGAATTTTTAACACAGTGGTTGTGTATTGTAAAGGTTGCTACAAGTGGGCAAAAGGAAATTGATCATAAGTGTCATTGAGAAGAGACAGACTCCGCTCTCAACGCATGGTATGGGTCAAAAGCTTGGCCTGTTTACACCTTCCCAGTTGGCCATTACCTTTTCTAGTTCCTGATCTTGGCGATTCATCAGAGTTTTCCAGTGTTCATACAGCTCAACGTCATTAGTTTGGATATCCTTCAATGTCCCTTCTCTAAGCACAGTCCCATCCTTCATGGCAATGATCTAAGAAGGAGGAAAATGAAGGACATTTTACTACAATAACATAACACTACTTTTTTGCCTGCAAGACCAACAACGCAGAAGTCTTGTTCAGTTCAGTTGTTCAGAAATCATGTTTACTGGCCACATGTAGGGAAAAGCAGCTAGCTCCTGCCCCTGCTGTTCCTGGTATCATTGCTCTGCTACATGAAGGGTTTTGGCAACAGTAGAAATACGCAGAGTTATTGAAGACACTTACAAGTTCTTCTTTGTTGCAAGACAGTTGTATTTAGTCTTGTTCAGTTCAGTTGTTCAGAAATCACGTTTACTGGCCACATGTAGAGAAAAGCAGCTAGCTCCTGCCTCTGCTGTTCCTGGTATCATTGCTCTGCTGCATGAAGGTGATGTGTCTGAGGAGAAAACTCTTCCCATGAGTCAGGATGCTGAATTTCCAAGGTTCCGATTCAATTGAAAATCATTCCCACCCATCTCCAGACAGCAGATACTCTCCTTTATAAACCCACTGCTCCCCACAGGTAGGAGAGTGACATGCCTTGAAACACGGAGGGCAGGGTTAGAGGGCTCCTCTTTACCACCATAAATAGACTCAATCTCCAGACAATTGAAGATGGCTACATAATTAGATCAGTCCACAATACACAAGTTTCCTCTTTTGCATTCAGAGCACAGTAGCACAGCATGGCCATAACGACACACTAAAAAAAAAGTAGAATTTGCAGATACTACTGTGACATTGCACACGATGCAAGCCCTACTGCAATTTAAAAATGTCACTAAAAACTCTTCCCATGAGTCAGGATGCTGAATTTCCAAGGTTCCGATTCAATTGAAAATCATTCCCACCCATCTCCAGACAGCAGATACTCTCCTTTATAAACCCACTGCTCCCCACAGGTAGGAGAGTGACATGCCTTGAAACACGGAGGGCAGGGTTAGAGGGCTCCTCTTTACCACCATAAATAGACTCAATCTCCAGACAATTGAAGAGGGCTACATAATTAGATCAGTCCACAAGTCACAATACACATGTTTCCTCTTCTGCATTCAGAGCACAGTAGCACAGCACGGCCATAACAACACACTCAAAAAAAAAAAGAGAGAGTAGAATTTGCAGATACTACTGTAACATTGCACACGATGCAAGCCCTATTGCAGTGTAAAAATGTCACCAACGGACACTTTTAAAAATCGCAGTAGGGCTTCCATCACCGGCCGGTTAGCATTGGGAGGCTTCATGGCTACCAACAGTGCCAAATTTTTGCAGGGCTGCAAAATTCTTGTCCACTCGATAGGCTGCCAAAACATGGCCACCTGCCCAGTGCTGGGAGGCTTCCTGGCTCCCTTGGCATCGGCCGTTGACATTATTCTTGCCCAAGGGTGGGCAGCTCCACTGGCACCTGTATGTCAAGCAGGAAAGGACTCTACTGTCCCACCCACAGCACTGTCCGTAGCCAGGAAGTTTCCCAGAACTGGCCCGCCGGTGGCTGAAAACTACACATCCTACTTTAATGTGAGGAAGGGCATTAAAACAGGACATGTGTTTCAAGCCGTTTTGTGCCTGTTTGCAAATAACCTGCAATAAAAACCTTACTGTGGGTCCTCTGAAAACATGTAGCTCCTGCCCATGAGAAATGCAGGAAAAAGTTGTGTTTATTCATCGCATGTTCTTTTCCCATCTGGACGGCACAATCAGTCTCAACTTTGCTGACTCCATAATTGTTTTATGGTCCCAGGCTTCCAGGAGATTTGCATGGCCTGGGTCTGGATTACATCTTGTCTGTAGTGCAAGAATGTATTAAACTAGCCCTTTAGAGTCCTAACTTTACCTTGAGCCAACACATTTTGAAATCAATGTGGTTGGTTGGTTGGTTGGTTGGTTGGTTGGTTGGTTGGTTGGTTGGTTGGTTGGTTGGTTGGTTGGTTGGTTGGTGGTTGGTTGGTTGGTTGGTTGGTTGGTTCCTCCCTCCCACCCTAAATGCATGGTAAGATGGGGGGGGGATTCTGTCACAGTAACAAAAAAGGGACACATGCATCTCTTACCCAGTCAGCATGTGGCAGGTACTGCAGTTTATGAGTCACTAGTATGAGGGTCCTTTTGTCATCTTTCAGAAACTTCAAGATACCTTCTTGCATCAGGTGGTCACTTAGATGAATGTCCAAGGCTGAAAATGGATCATCCTGGAATAACATATGGCAACACAGCATAATGATTAGGGATGTGTGAGGAATTCACTCTGATGGATTTTGGTGGTAGAGGTGGTGGGATTCTCAGTATCTGCTTCCTGGATTTGTATATTTGCTGTGGCTGGATATGATGGGAATTGTTGTACAATGCATGAGCAACATACCAATTGTGACTTAATTCACCTACAAATACATGTTTCTGCCATACTTCTATCATACCTCTTTTTGGCTCAATAAGACAAAAGACAAGAGTACCTTTATCATTTCCTTAATGTAGGGAAAACTAGTTTTTGATACTTGTGTGACTTCAACCAAAATCTAAGAAAAGGATACTAGACCAAGACAATGCTAAATGAAACTCATGGTGCAGTGGTTAAACTTCTGTGCTGCAGCCAAAGATGGCTCAAGGTTCACTCAACCTTCCATCCTTCCAAGGCTGATAAGTACGAGTACCTAGCTTGCTGAGGGGGCAATGTGTAGCCTGCACAATTAACTGGTAAACCGCCCAGAGACTGCTTTAAAAGCTATGGGGCGGTATATAAGCAGCATGGTTTTATAACATTCATGGTGCAGCTAAGATTTGAACCTAGGATATTTCAACTCACCATTTATGGGTGTCATCATTACATTATTAATCTCTCCCTTTTATAATTATGAGTACCTAGCTTGCTGAGGGGGCAATGTGTAGCCTGCACAATTAACTAGTAAACCTCCCAGAGAGTGCTTTAAAAGCTATGGGGCAGTATATAAGCAGCATGGGACGAGGGATTTATTTTAGAAATTATTTTAAAAGATTTTTATCCATTGTTACTCTAAATAGCTAGGAATATAAATGAGAAAAGAAAAGAAAAAAGACATTGTTGTCATACTCTTAACATACTCTTAGCCACCACCCATCTGCTGAAAAGGACAAAAGTTGATCCCACAGCCATAAATACTCAACTCTCAAACAAACTGCACCAGAGCACAGAGTGCTACTCCTGTCCTCTGAAAATGCCAGCCACAGAGACTGGAGAAACGCTAGGAAGAACAACCTTCAGAACACGGCCAAAGAGCCCGAAAAACCCACAACAACCATTAGACCGTGAAGTGTCTTTTGCATCGAAGCAAACCGAGTCCCATATACTCAAATGCTAACATGATCTGCCGGCCTTATGGAAAACCAATCCCAGCTAATTAGAAGCTGATATTCAAGCACATCATATTTCCAAGACGAGGGATTTATTTTAGAAATAGTTTTAAAAGATTTTGATCCATTGCTACTCTAAATAGCTAGGAATATAAATGAGAAAAGAAAAGAAAAAAGACATTGTTGTCATACTCTTAACATATTATATAGTCTTACCAGAAAGACAATGTTGGTGTTTTGGTAAAGTGCACGAGCCACGCAGATCCGTTGTCTTTGACCCCCGCTTAAGTTAATTCCCTGATGGGTATATAAAAGGCCGTTAGTTTCAGTCTTTCGAATAAATCCTGTGACATTTGTAGTAACAGCATCTTGAAAAATGTTGGCATCTTAGAGGCTGCTCCGAAAAGCAAATATCCCCACACTAAGATAAGCTCATGATGTTAAGGCTCTTGGTGGCCAAACCTGGAAACCTTTTGCACTGTCTAAGAAAGAAAGGGTATCTAAATCATTAAGTAGGGGATAAAACGTCCCAAATAACTCACAAGCTATAAATACCATGTTCTGAAAAGATAAGAATATAGTGGTGAAGACCTGCCAGTAAAAACATGCCTCATTACGGCAACATGTTTCCTCAGCAACAACCAACAAGCCCTGGGGATAATGTATGAGACACGTCCCGAAGCTACAAAAGGAGGTCTCTGGACTTCTGCAGCCAGGAAGCATGAATGCCATGGGAACACAAAGCTAAGCACTCTAGAATCCAGACCCTGTGCTAAGGGCGGGTGAGGAACATGGACTAGTATGATTCTAGAGGTGGAATGAGGGCAACAGCAGTCATATTGGGTTGAATTGGATGATAAGGGGAATGTGTATTTTCTTGGACTAAACTCACATTCTCTCCCATAATAGGATTTCTTCAGAGATATTTACCACAGCAATGGGATTTGCAAATGATAATCATTTCAACTTTCAGTGACCAATCACAAACCAAACCGTGTTAAATGCAAGACACGGTTAAGAAGACAAACAGATCTCTTTCATCAGTAGGGGAGCACCCTTTCTAAAACCATGCTGAGTATATTTTCTGCACCATCAGTCTAACATGAACGATGGAAGAAAACTATTTGTGGGTATGGAGGGGGTTTCCGCAGAACAACGAATGTGGGCTGACATCCCTGCTGAAAACTGTTGGGCTGAGTTTAAAAAGAGTAACCACAGTAATGATTTCTTCATCCTTCACTTACCCTTTCTCCAATTTCTGTCTGATCTCCAAAGGGCAACAGATCAATATCAGGTTGTAGAGAACATGCCTCTGTGACAGCTTTGTATCTAAGGATATAACAGAAGAGGAGACCAGCTGGATCAGACCAAAACCTGACTAGTCAAGCATTCTTTTTCCACAGTGGCCAAACCCTGGTGGCTCTAGCCTGCAATCTGACGAGAGAAGTAGCAAATACTCATTCACAACAACAACAAAAAGGGGTGTGTAGAAGTATCCATTGAGAAAATTGCCAGTTGTGGCAAGATTTTTTTTCCCGGCACAGAAACAAACAAACAAAATCACAGCATTTTTGACAAGAGTATTTGCCAAAAAAGAGAGGTGGTTTTGCAGCTTACATTTTGGGTCAACATCCTTGTATCTTGCCTGAAATACAGGGTTTTCTCTAGTGAATTGTAGGTTTTCTGTGGAAAACACAGCTTTTTTCGGGGCAACCATTGCTATGAGGTGTTTTTTTTTCCAGAAACAAATGCCAAAATAGAAAAGAATGCATAAAAAACTTGCAATTCAGCTCAGTTCTCAGAAACATTTGAAATGATGCATTCTTTCTTGGAAGAACAATAAATAAAGGACAATGCATTTACTAAACCAGATACAAACAAATACAAGCAGAGGTTATCTTCCCATGCTTTCAAACCAGATCCTCCAGTTTGTGTTCCCTAGTAACCTTTACACTGATACAGGCTGTAATACAGACCCATTATGACTGCTAGCCATCAATAGCTTTATCCCCCACAATTTTTTCTAAGCCACCTTTAAAGTTGCTATTGCTAAATTTTGGGAAAGCAAAACAAACTATTAAGTAGGAGAAGGAACATCTATATATATAGCTTCTAAGCCACCTTTAAAGTTGCTATTGCTGAATTTTGGGAAAGCAAAACGAACTATTAAGTAGGAGAAGGAACATCTATGTATATAGCATTTGTATATGCTATATGTATATGCTCTCTCTCTCTCTGTCTCTAGCATATACATATAGCATATATAGCATTTTATATATAAAAATATACAGTATATGCTCTCATGAGTGTCCGTCGCTTGTCCCAGCTCCCGCCAACCTAGCAGTTCGAAAGCATGCAAATGCGAGTAGATAAATAGGGACCACCTCGGTGGGAAGGTAAACAGCGTTCCGTGTCTAAGTCGCAGTGGCCATGTGACCACGGAAGATTGTCTTCGGACAAAACGCTGGCTCTATGGCTTGGAAACGGGGATGAGCACCGCCCCCTAGAGTCGAACACGACTGGACAAAAATTGTCAAGGGGAACCTTTACCTTTACCTATATGCTATATGTATATGCTCTCTCTCTCTCTCACTCTAGTATATACATGTAGCATATAAAGCATTTTATATATAACAATACATATGCTCTCATATAAATGAGAGCATTATCCAGCTGTGGTTTTGGGCTGGTGGAACAAAATGATCCAGGAAAGACAGGAGGCTGGAAGTTCTCTGTTCCTCTAAGCCTCAAACTTGGGTCCCCCCAGATGTTCTTGGACTGCAATTCCCAGAAGTCTTCCCCACTTGCTGTGCTGGCCAGGATTTCTGGGAGTTCCAGTCCAAGAATATCTGGGGACTCCAGTTCGAGAACCACTGCTCTAAGTCAATGCTTCCCAACTTTGGGTCCCCAGGTGTTCTTGGACTAAAACTCCCAGAAGCCATTGCCACTAGCTGCGCTGGGCAGGAACATTTAGGAACCCAAGGCTGGGAAGCACTGCTGTAAGCCCCCCCCCGTGCTCGGGGGACACAGGGGAGGGGAGGGGAATTTCCACTGTGAGCAGCACCAGAGGGCTGGGTTCAACCCTTTGAGGAAGGTTTGGTTAAGGAAGTGTGACTGGCCAAGATCACAAAGTGAGTTTCATGATTCAATATGAACTTCTTCCCCATAATTCAGCTTCCCTGAATGAGTCTTTAATACACAATATTGTGTCCATTGACTTCCTGCATGCCATAAATGAATTTCTGTATCTCAGAAGGTTCAGATCTGAAAACAAATTCCTAGGTTATGAGTGCTCTTTGAGGTCCCCAGCTGCTTAATTCTACCTTGAACTGAGTCAAGTTCCTGGTCCTCATGGTCGACTCTGCCTAGTAGCAGCTCTCCAGGGTTTGTCTTTCTTTCTTTCTTTCTTTCTTTCTTTCTTTCTTTCTTTCTTTCTTTCGCTCTGCATGGGGATCCCCAGTGTTCTGTTGTGGTCTCCCATCTAATTTTTTAGCTGGCCCAACCCTGCTTAGCTTTCTGTCTTTCTTTCTTTCTGTCTGTCTTTTCTTTCTTTCTTTCACTCTGCATGGGGATTCCTGGTGTTCTGTTGTGGTCTCCCATCTAATTTTTTAGCTGGCCCAACCCTGCTTAGCTTTCTTAAATTGGAGAAGATCAGGTGTACACAAGGGAACATAAGCACGGTGTCTGGTTTTTTTCCTAAGCCATCATTCTGCTCTTGGCTACAGTAGGTGGACCTTCAGGTTTCCAGAAATATAAAGAAGATCTCATAAGTCTGATGTCAGCCTACCTACAGCACAGGAAACTGTGTCCCCGAGATGTCCCTTGACATTGCATCTCCCTTGCTCTATCTGAGTTCACAGCCATCTCTTATGTTTCCTGCTCTGGCTCTCTCCTTTCCACTTAACTGCATCCTTATTTGGAGAATACTTGTGGAGATCAGAAGAATTTTCATTGGGTTTACCCAAGCAGAGGCCAGCTGCTTTGAGCACTGGATTATGTTCCCAGATGAACCCAATCAGAGGTTGTCTTTCACGCTTCCAATACTTCAAGCTTTCAGCACTTTACAGTTCATGAGATAACAGTGAATTCAAGAGCGAGGGGAAACGAGGGGAAGACGGGGGCTGACTGGATGGATTTTTGTTGTTGCTTCTGCCTGTTATTTCCAAAGCACTAGCGTGAGAAGATTTCCAATCACATTGCACCCCTTCTTTGGACATTTTTAAGTCCTCCCACCTTGTCTGCTAGTTTATCTGTCCTAAGAACAAGATCATGTGCGATATTTTGCTGTAAGAAATACTGTTTGTTACCTCTGCTTATTAAATGGACTTCCAAATGTAATGTTTTCTTCCACTGTGGCATTCAGGAGCCAGGGCTTCTGGGCTGCATAAGCCACCGAGTATCGGTTCCTGAGGGAAGATGTAGATGTAAAAAGGATTAGTAGCAGTAGAGAGGGAGATTCTTTGTAGGCTTTTTTTATAAAAAAAATGTGTATTGAAATTGGTAAGGGATCAAGAAGCACACAAAGAAAAAGCAGCTGTTACTAGAACAAGCAAGAAGAGGAAAGTTTTAAGGGAAAGAGTTATGTTAGAAGAGCACCCACTCTTTGTCATGGCTCCCCCCCCCGTGATCAATTTCAGGTGTACTGCATCCCACCCACCACTACAACATGTGTGTCCCACCTCCAAGTAAACCAAGTGTTTGGTATAGCACTAGAACTGCATCTAAGCAGAATGGCTAGAACCCTATTCAGATTTTATCCTGGAGTAAGTGAAATTGTGATTAAATGCAGTTAATTCATAAGGTGCAGGTCACATGGCTGGTTGTGTGCTTGCTTGAGTATTATGCTGCTGAAGAGCTGCAATTCATTGCTGTGACTTGCATGTTTTCACTTACTCTAAAGTGAAATCCCAATGGGATTCAGGCACCTGTCCAATAGGCGGAAAAAGCATTCTGTGGTCTAAATCTAACGGTGAGATGTTCAACTAGATTGATTGATCGATCGATCGGTCTGTCTGTCTGTCTATCTATCTATCTTGTATCTAGAGCTGTGCTGGGTGGGTTTTCTGGGAGTGCCACTGATAAACACTTACAGACACCTACATGTGGCTCACCTGGGAGAAAGGTCTAAGTTGGAAAGCTTAGCATGGGTGTCTGTAGACATTTATGTGTCTATACGAACCTACATGTGGCTCACCTGGGAGAAAGGTTTAAGTTGGAAAGCCTAGCATGGGTGACTGTAGACATTTATGTGTCTATATGAGTCTGTCTGTCAGGTGGGACTCCCACAATGGTGAATTCTAAAATGTATAGTCCTCCCAAAAGTTGCATATTTAGTCATATCCTATAGTATTGCACCTATGTTGGAATATGTGCAGAAGATTGTACGAAGGAGTTCCAGTGTCAATTCCAGGGTGCTAGCAAGTGTCTAGCTGTGCTGACAGGTGCCATAAAAATTCATAGCTGTGCTACTTTTCTTTCCTCTTTATCAAATGAATGAAGCATAACAGCATCTTTGAGATAAGTGTAGTACTTGTGGAAGGACATATACTGTAGGTACAGATTGGCATTTAATCTCTAACAGTTTGTGAAATTCCTTATCTGAAGCCTGCCACAAGCAATACTAAAAAAAAATCTAAGCTGTCTAAAGCATTTGAACATCAAAGTTAAAAATGTCACATTCAAAATGGAAATTCAGATATTGAATGTGAAATCTGGACAATTTATAGCATTTTTTAAAAAATTGCAGTTTTTCAGTTTAGGTCTAACTGACATTAATATTTTTTTTTTCTGGAAAGTGTGCATTTATTTCATCCAAACAGATCCTCTTCAAGATTTGGTGATAGTTTATCATTTGAATATATCTTGTGTGATTGAATCACTCGCATCAAAGAGAGTTGGGTGCTGGATAATATCAAACAGATCCTCTTCAAGATTTGGTGATAGTTGTATTATTTGCATACATCTTGCATGATCGAATCACTCACATCAAAGAGAGTTGGGTGCTGGATGTTGGTTAGAAAGATCTAATGTAGCTCCAGTAGTTTTCACATTTAAGGAGTTTAGAAGGCACAAACATTTGTTCTGTTCTGTTAATTTCTTACAATTGTCAAGTATCTGCTAATACAGTGGTTCCCAGTTGCTCCCACATTTCCTATTAGTTAAAAGCTGAAATACCACCTCGGCTCAAAAACTATCTGTATGTTTGGACTACTGAAATTTAAGTAACTGTAAACTTTGGCTCGCTTTGTAGATGACCAATCATAGTTTAGATTTCCAGGTCGTATTTGGTCATTTGCAGGTCATATTTGGTCATTGAGACATTCACATTTGCCATATGATTGATGCTTGGGCATCAAAATGTTCAATTTGTGTCAAAATATGAAGTCTGAAACTTGATTTCTATGTGTTCTAATATCACAAAATAATCCAAACAGTTGCAGATACTGTACTGTATACAATAATAGCTGCAGTCCAGATGGAAAATTCTACTACTACTACTACTACTACTACTACTACTACTACTACTACTACTACTACTACTACTACTACTACTACTACTAGTAGTAGTAGTAGTAGTAGTAGTATGAAAAGTACTTTTTCATTTCTTTCATCCACTTTAGTGCTCAGTGATCAACACATTATAGGATAGGCAGCTTGTGGCATGAGAAGTGGCCACCCCCCACGGAAGCCTACAAGCCACTCTATTTTCCAGCCGGTGTCTAAACTTCCAAACATTAGCTGTACAATAATTTAAATGTTATTAGTAAAAATAATTGAGAAGTTGCAATTAATTGATGTTAGACTGCTACAGACTGTAATTTATTGGGTCCTTTGTTAAAATATTCAATCGTTTAAAATGTCTCTTGGCATTTACTTGATCAGGATTTGAAATGCACAAACTCATTGTGCCGCCCCCCCAAACTGGGAACCACTGCATTGAAGACGTCTATTAGTTAATATATTCTAATTATTGGGAATAGGGTAAAGAGACAATGCATTCTTTGTACTGAGTAAAAAGCAGGGATTTAGGTAGAGAAGAAAAAGATTCAAGAATAATACCTCCGGTTTGCTTCAAAAGAAGACTCAGTTTCATTTACACTGCAAATTCGGTAAACAATATTTTAGTAATTTGATTTTTGGAGAGGATGAGGTCAAGTGTAGTTTTAGTAAATTTTACATACTTGTGTGGAATATTGAAAAATAAAAAGAACACAAACCCTTGAATGTGATGCAGGGAAAGGAAGAAACTCACAGTTGAAACAATTGATCCCAACCATGATTCCACCATAGATGGTTCTGTTGAAAACTCTGACTAGCTTTGCACAGTTATCTGTTTAGTTCCCTCCATTAATTCATACAGTTTAATCCCAAACAGCACATACTGGTCTGGTCTTTATGTTGTTTCCTTTTTGTAAAATGAGATTCAGGATTTAAGTCTTCATGGGATATGGCATTAACTGCCTACTGGATTTTGTGCTCTCGGGCCTCCTGTGTGGAGATCTGAGAGTTTGATGAAAAGGTTGGAAAAGTTGCATTTTGGGACTAAATCCCTCTCTCTCGTACACACACACACTAACACACTGCAGTCTTAAAATATATAAATAAGTTTTCCAAGCTCTGAACGTTGTTCATATGAGTTCATGTATCATTGGAACCTTCAAATTTCTGTCTACAGATACCTGCTGTTATCCCAAACACTACCGCAATATCTTCAAGCAGGCTCGGGTCTAGATCTCCACCAGAATTAAGAAGCCTTGCCTGTCCTCTCAATAGGGTTCCCACTGAGGGCTTCTGGTAAAGTTGTAGGGAGTTCATTTTGTTCTTCTTCACTGCTACAGCTCCATATACCTGTGGTCCCATCACACGGATTACCCATTTCCAACTGCCCCTTAACTTTCATATGACCACAGAAAACACCAAGTAACAACTAGTGTGACTTTAGCTTTTTGATATGTTCCATTGGTAACAGAGTGCATCTATATGCCACAGTTATACAATCTGACACCATTTTAACTGTCATGGCTCTTATCCTATGGGATCCTCGGATTTGTAGTTTGATAAATATTCTTCACTGTAGTTCAGGGGAGCGTACTAGAGCACTATAGCATAAGTATCTTCTTAAAATACAGATCTCAACTTTCTTCACACAAAGCCACGGCAGTTAAAGCGGTATCAACCAATCCAAATGTGCAGTATGTATACATTCCCTTATTTTCTTTCAAACTTCCATCCATATTCTGGAATACGAAATAAAGTTGTCAAGTGTTCTTCCGTCTCATCAGCCTTTAATGTGCTCCGGTCCCCCCACGATTCCAAATTATTTAAAGGAACATGTCATAACATATGCATGCAAAGAACAATAATAACACCTATGACTTGAGAAATGAATACTATATAATAATAATAATAATTCATATTAATAAGGGTGAATGTTTTGATGCAACAAGCAATTGTTCTGACACCACACCTGGTAGATGAGAAACACACAGGAAGAAAAGGGCATAACAGTTAATTAACTCATGGATATAAGCCTTTTTTAAAAAGGAAGGAAGGAATAAGAGTTGAAGCAAAAAAAAGAGAGAAAAGCACAGAATGTAAAATATGGCTTAAGAGAAAACCTGTGTTAACCCTTCTGATGCTGATGGTCCATATCTTTCCCTTTGCTTGTCTTTTTAAGAACAGCAAACATGCAGAATTATGTAGTAAGGGGGAAATGGGAGAAATTAGAATCTTGATTATTATTTCATGAAACTGAAACCAACAGGGTTGAGTTTAGCAATACCTGCAGGGTTCTTCCGAAAAAAACGCCTCTCTGCCAGGCAGTCTGAAATTATATCAGCAAAAAACCATATTTGTTTGTTATAACACAGGTTTGAGGAATATCAAACCTGTGATATATGCTTGCATGACTTCTTAGAATTAAATCTCTCTTTAAGTCCCAACCTTCATCTGTGGTGTTTCAGTCTAACTCTCATGGATCACAGAAATAAATGTGAAAAGATGCAAAAATATTAAGTAATTCAAACAATGAGATAAGTGAAAGGAGAACCAAACTCATTGGCCAAAATCCTGTTTCTTGGTATACTAAATTGTGTTAAAGTGGACTCATTGTATCAATGGGAATTTAGTGTGTCATCTCCTCCCTCTACTAATTCAACTGGGCCTACTCTAACTTAGACTTGTGATGGTAAAGTAAGTAGACCCATTTAAATCAATGGGGCTTACAGAGGAGTTGACTCATTAAATGCCTCTTGATCCAATGGTGAGCTCTAATGCAATTTACTACACTAAGCAAGAGGATTTTGGCCATTGTATTTTTGAATTGCTGTGATTCACTAAGCAACAGGATTTTGGCCATTGAATTTTTGAATTGCTGTGATTTCTAAATCCACCTGCCACATTTTTCCAAAGCTAGCTCATGTTTTACTAAGAAACCCAGATATAAGGAAAGAGTTCCTGTATCTATAAGAGCTGTATAGAAGAAAACATTCTAGCAGATGTAATTAAACATGATTTTCTGCCTCCTATACAACTGTTTTAAAAAGTCTTGTGGCACAGTGGTTAAAACTCTGCTCACAACTTGCCTTCAATCCCAATGGGCTCAGGTAACTGGATCAAGGTTAACTCAGGCTTCCATCTTGGTGAGGGACAATGGGTAGCCTCCATGATTAAATTTCAAACTGCCCAAAGAGTGCATTAAGCACCATGGTGCAGCATATAAGCAGCACACTTTGCTTTGATTTGTTTTGAAGACATTGACAATGTTAACTGAAATCTCAGGGAACTGCTAGGCACCTCCATGTCTCTGGATAAAGAGAAACGTCTTATGGTGGATAGAGCTGGAGAAGGGTAGTGCAACTGGAAGTGTCCAGATAAAGACACTTTAAAGCCAGGGCACCTTGCCAGGGACTCACTGGCTCAGCTTGTAAGTGACAGGGGTGTGTGTTTTCCTTCAGTTGGACAGTAAGTGCAAGTGGCTTTTTGGCTTGCTGATACTGGGCCCTAACCATGCTATTTGGAGCAAGTGGAGCATCAGCTTTGTGACTCATGAGCCTTCTTTCACAAGCCTTGGCAGTTAGCAGCATAAAGCCTGGAGGCATGGGGGAAATCTCCTCCCTCCAAACTCTTGCCTGCCACGCCCATGACACCACAACAGCCCATTCCTATGATTTCATTAGGATCTACCCTCTAATCTCAAGCTTTAGCGTTACAATATCATGGAATGAGATGCTGCTCTACTGGCAACCCTATGGAGCAGCTTGTCCTTTACTCACTCTGTGTTTTACTTACACATGGGTCTTAAATCTCCAATTACATATTAGTGTGATGGAAACGACAGGCCTACACATGGGTCTTAAATCTCTGACTGCATATTAGTGTGATGGAAACGACAGGCAAACAATGATGACTGCATATTGCACAATCAGAAGATGAGAATCATTTGGGCTACAGTTCCCATGGCCATAGCTGTGGGCTTCTGGGACCCGTAGTCAGAAAAAATATGTTACCTATCTCTAAGCAATATGCACACACACACACACACACACACACACACACACACACACACACACACACACACACACACACACACACACACACACACAAGGGCCATCTCATGAATGGTACAGGACTGAGATATTTCTCAAAGCTATGCCCCTTCCTTCCAAACACTGACTGGTTATCAATTAGGGCTGCCAGCTGTTGATGATTGCTACTGATCGTTCTTATCCCTAGAAAAATTCTGTGCAAAATCCATCATTTCTAAATGTGCAGCATGTAAATATATGTGAGTAGGCACTGTGGAGCCTTTTCCTCTGGCTTAGTCTGATTTGATTGCACATTGTCATGGTTCTAGTGCTCTGTGTCCAGCCACTTTAAATCAATGCCATTCCCTCAAGAAAAGGAAAGTCGTGAAACATTCATCTCTACGATATGCCAGGTACCCTTATTAGGACTGCAAATATCCTTCTAGTTTTTGTCCTTATTTTCTATGAATTGTGTATTCATGGATGACCTTTGCCTTTAATTTCATGACAATGGATCCAATTAGTTGATACATTTAACATTTATGAAATGTTCAGCATGTATTTAGCAAAGCTGCTCCTTTTGGTCATGAAAAAACATCTGTTTGTCATACTGTGTGATTATCCTCACCTATTACCATACATTTAGTATTTCTCCTTTTAAGGAGAAAGGCAGGGTAAAAATATTTTAAATACATAAATAAATGATGTGTTTAGTCAATGGAAAGGAAACACTGTTTTGATTTTCAGATTCGATTGGTGAGGCCCATATCCCTAAAAAAGTCAAATTGTTGGAAGCAAGGAAGGAATGGTTAATTGTAGGAAACATGCATTCTTTGGAATATTTAGACAGACCCAACGTGTTTGAGGAAAAAGGGGTCCCAAGAGCCAATTTAGAGGGACAGCAGGTAGAAAAAGTAGCTTCAGGAAAAAGTTGCTTCAGGAAAATAAAACATGTTATTTTTCTCAACTTCAGAAATCACAGTAAGGAATAATAATGTCATATTATGGTGTTCCATAATTAAAACAATGATATCGCTAGAATCTATTTCATTGTTTCATATACGCCATATTTTGCCCTTCTTCGATGGCTGGACTGACCGTCATTTACCAAATTAAAAGACAACTTTATAATTATTGGACGTCTACCAAAATCTCCATCCTATCCCCCTCCACCCCCAAAATCCAGTAAACAACTTCAAAACATACCGGCTCCAATGAACTTTGCCTTCCAGGGTTTGCATCTCGCCAAGCATAGCCAGGAGGAGAGAAGATTTGCCACAACCCACCTGACCCACAATCATTGTCATTTGGCCTGCACAGAACAACAGACTAAAGTCAAACTCTCAACAAAAAGCGGTTGATTAATTCGATGCCCAAGATGGACTGCATGAATGGTGGCCTCTTACATCTTCACATTACTTGCACATAATACAGACAAGATGCTGTGTTATGGGTGTGTTTTTTCCCAGTGAGCTGTTCCTTTGCACTTTGCAGTGTCAGTTATTGTTTTATTTCCTTTCGTATGGCGTCTTGAGACCGTTTATGCACATGTCCAGTTATAAACGCTTCACTCAAAAAGGCAGACAAACAAAAAAGGCAAGACAAAAAGCATTGTTTGTTTCAGAGAACAAAAGAATGCCCTGCTGTATTGACTGCGTTGGAGTTTTCACAATCTTGCATGCTGCCTTTAGTAGGTTTGGCTGAGAGGGACCTTTTCGGACTGGAGTCCAATGACAACAGCAATCTTAGAACTGTTGGAAGGGACCATATGGATCGTCAAGTCCACCCCTTGTCAAGGAGACACTGTGGGAAATCAAACTCCCAAACTTTGGCTCCACAGCCAGATACTTTAACCACTGAGCTATCCAGCACAACCTATGCTTTCTCCTTTTCATGTTGGTGGGATGCAAAAGTGTGTTAAAGTTTTATTAGCAGAATGTTTTATTTCCATCTGATGTATACTTGCTCCTTCTAATGATGTAACCTGTCCAGATACTACAAGAAAACCTCTGCTAAATTAAATAATATTGAATACGGAAGGTTATAAATCCTACCTGTTGGGATTCTGATATCAATATTGGATAATGTTGCTAAACCACTTCCCCAGGAGAAATATCCATTGGTTACCTGCAACATATAGTACCTTACAATGAAGCAACAAACAACTGTAACTTTTATACTGTAATTTATACACTTGCATCCCTATTTTTCACCACCTCGACTGGGATTTAATTTTACATACACATCCCCCCAAGAAATGCTGCAAAAGTCAGAATTACATGAGAAAAGGGTGGGGGTGGGTGATATATGCGTTTCACAGTAAATCTCACCTTGTAAGCTTTTTTAGTCTTGAAAGATCCATAAATAGATCAGTGGCCTAAATTAAGTTTTAATACAACTGCACTAGACCTAGCAAAACAAATACTGTATGACTCGTCAGTCAATATCATTGAGAGTCCCACTGATTTAAATGAATCAAAGTACTCCAACTGGGACTAAAATTGGATTTAGCCCAATAAACCCAATTGTGCAATGATGATGATGATGATGATGATGTACCACCAGGTCAATTCTGACTTATGGCATCCCTTTTTCCAAGTAGAGAGTACTTAGAAGTGTTTTACTATTCCCTTCTTCTGAGGATGCCCTGGGACTATGCAGTTTGCCCAGGGCCAAACAGCCTGGTTCTACCTGCAGGAGGCACTGTGGGAAATCAAACTCCCAGCTGCTGGCTCTGCAGCTAGAGACCTAAACCACTGAGCTATCTGGCCAGCAATAACTCCTCCCAAAAAAGAATGAGAAACAACCACCAACCCTCAAGTCTCAGCTTGTGAAAGATGTTTTGTGCCACAAACAGCAGCTTTGTATCAAAGCATAGAGATAGAATTAAGAATACCTGTCAGCTGAGAAACTGTTCTTCAAGTGCAGAGTCCCATCCTGCCCAGGATAAAGTCTAGCTGCCCAACCAGAGGAGCATTTAATAACTATACATCAATCCTATCTGGATTAAGCTTTCTAGCCTTTCATTAACTGATCACACTGGTTTGGTTGGACACAGCAAAAAAAAAACCCTGGGATTTGACCTGTGCTAAAAACCTTGCTGAGTTTCACACTCACACAATGAATTCCAAAGTGTGTACTTATTTTACTCTGAATAACTACCAGAGGGCCATTTATTTTAGCACATTGTTTTCTTAATCAACTTTAGCCGATTATGAACATTACAGCCAATTTTAAAAGGGAGCATTTCAATTACTCAGTAGGAATGTAGGAAAACTCAAAAAACACATGACTTGAGTCAGCTAAATTATTGTAGTGTTTTTGAGAAATGTAGACTGACTCCAAGTAATCAATGGATATAAACATATTTGGTTCCGTGGTCTGCTTAAAATACAAGGTACCTTGATAGCATAATCATCAACTTCCATATGGCGGCTCGACATCCTCAGTGGTGGCTCATAGCTGTCCAGCTGGTATCTCAGGGGCTGTTTCCGATTTATGGTTTTGGGGTACTTAAGAGGTTGACATAAACAGGGAAAGAAAGAAGAAAAGTTTTATTGGTTGCACGATTAACCAATAACTTCCAGATTTCAGGCCCATTCTAAACAGTGATGGGTTACTTTGACCCTTACTACAATTTCTAATTGATCTGGGAAATAAACATGGTCCAGATTAATTAGCTCAATATGAGCCAAACCGCATACAAGCAGAGCTGAGAGAGTCAACCCTGAGTGCTCCCTGGAAGGGATTTGAATCCACGTGCTCCCTGGAAGGACTGATCCTGAAGCTGAGGCTCCAATGCTTTGGCCATCTCATGAGAAGAGAAGGCTCCCTGGAAAAGACCCTGATGTTGGGAAAGTGTGAAGGCAAGAGGAGAAGGGGACGACAGAGGACGAGATGGTTGGACAGGGTCATCGAAGCTACCAACATGAATTTGACCAAACTCTGGGAGGCAGTGGAAGAGAGGAGGGCCTGCCGTGCTCTGGTCCATGGGGTCACGAAGAGTCGGACACGACTTAAGGACTAAACAACAACTTTCAGAGAGAGAGAGAGAGGCCCTTACAAGTCCAGGGTGCTTTTCACAAGGCTCACAGGTTAAAGCACTCTCTTCAGGCCTCCAGCTGTCATCTCCAATCTCATCACTTATGAGAAATTCATTCAATTTTTGCACGCTGGAAACAAAAAGAGAGAGGGGCAGGTTACAGGTACTCCTAAGAACAAGGTTTGCAGAGGTGTGTGTCTGCGAAGCAACCAACATGAAATTGACACAACTACAGGAGGCAGTGGAAGATAGGAGGGCCTGGCGTGCTCTAGTCCAGTGGTTCTTAACCTTGAGTTACTCAGGTGTTTTTGGACTTCAACTCCCAGAAGCCTTCACCACCAGCTGTGCTGGCTGGGGTTTCTGGGAGTTGCAGTTCAAAAACATCTGAGTAACCCAAGGTCGAGAACCACTGCTCTAGTCCATGGGGTCACGAAGAGTCGGACACGACTAAACGACTAAACGAACGAACGACGAACGTGATCTTGGACTAAATTGCCAGGCAGCTGCACTATAAGCGAGGAAAAATGAAACTCCGGGACCTTGGTGGTTTGTCTTGGCAAACCAGGGATCTTTGAATGTCCCAAGCGAGCAAAGAAAGTAGTGAATGCAGCCCCACTCAATATAGCACACAACAAGAAGGAGCTGAACACTGAAACAAAGGGAAAGAGTTTTTAAATTTCAATTTTTTTTGATCTCTGAAATGAAATAGGGCCACTGCCATGTGTAGGATTAGAAAAAACCTTTTTTGTCCAATTATTTATTATAACTTTTCTTACTTCCTGTGTAGTTCATTTCAGGTAGTCAGTTTGTCTTTGAACTACCCTTTTCCATTTACTCTGTTCTCTACAACTGGGTTTCAGTGAAATTTCAGCCCGCCCTGGTCTGTCTTAAGCAACATCAGAGTCTGTGCAGGATTTCTGATGGTGAGGCTGGGGTTGGATCCCTCTTCTTTACCACTGTCTTGAATAATTTTTGGCCTGCATAATTCTTGGCCCATGACATGATCATCTTAAACAAAATGATCCCTGAGCCAAAGGACCAGTGATGATGATAGAGCAGAGCTCTTTCCAACACTTTATGCAGTGGAGAAATAAGCATCACGCATTCTATGACAACTGAAGGTGTTGAGGATTTACCGATCCCTGTATTTTCCTGCTGTGGAGGCAGGCCCAGTGTCAGTATATTCCATCATGGTGGGACAAACATGGGTCACACAGAACCCACACAGAGTTTGGGAGTTTACAATTTTGTGCATAGTGGCCATATGTGTTTTACCCATAATGGCTTAGGACCTTGGACCATCCTGGCGATTCTGTAAAAACAAAATGGCAGTCAACAGAAGCAGATGCTTAGGGAACCTTCGCAGCCTGAGAGACAGCTTCTGTCTCTCTAGTTCGATGCGGTTAGAAAGGCTCTGAGGTGACAGAGTTCGGGAAGAATTATGGCAAAACTCAAGACCTACTGTCACTCAGAGGAGGCAAAAACACACCTTATGATGGCCTTGACAGCAAATCTAACGACCGTGGAGAGCAGGAAAAGTGGAGTGACCAGGATGTGAAACAGCGAGAGCGATGCGAACGCCTGAGCTGTCGTTAGTTGCTTATCTTCTGTATAAGCATAGGTCACAAAGGTCTGTCAGATAGGGAAAAGAGGAGAGGAATAGAAGCACGTCTTACTTTGGGTAGAGCAAAACAATGAACACGTTGGACTTCAGGTCAACTCAACACAGAATCAGATAGCTGAACTGTAGCAGAGATAGGTTGATTTTAAAAAGCCTCTACATTTCTGTGGAATTTTCAAGACTCCAAAACCTCACCCTTTGATTCTCGATCTTGCACACCCTTCTTTTTAAAAGGAATGGGTATACTCAGGACATAGATCCGAATGCCCCATGAAACGTGCAGCGTAAACACTTTCCTTTTGCTTTCCTCCACATCAGGCTGCTTCTTGCAGAAGATGCTGTGCATCCTATCTTCTGTCTTCCCAGGTGGGAACTAAATTGGACAGAATTCTAGGCAAGACAGCTGTGTTGGGCAACTGCGACGTGGGACTAGGCTCTGGTTGGCAGCCCGGGAAGCCGCAATGTGAAACTGTACTCTAGTTTTCAGCCCAGGATACTGTTGCATGAAAACAAACTCTGCTTTGCAGGCCAGGAACCTGCTGTATGGAACTGAGCTCTAGTCTGCAGGTCAGGAAACTGTTTCATGCAGCTGAACTCTGCTTTGCAGGCGGGGGAACTTTTGCATGGAGTGGAGCTCTGCTTTGCAGTTCACAAAAATGTTGCTCATTTTTGCTGACTGAGAAGAAACTGAACGGAGCTTGGTGGTGAAATATCCAAATTTGCCATAATTTACATCTAGCCCTGTCCATTTTAATTTGTCTCCACCCTGTGACCTTAGGTATGCCCACTTCTGGAATCTATGCCTCAAAACCATTGCCAAATTGGAATTCAACTGTTCAACTAAACAAAGTTCCCCACTCATATTCTAATGGATCATCCTGGATAA